CTTGGTAAGAACTCCAGACTAGAGCACACAGAGATTGAACCAACAACCATCCAATTAGCAGATGACCTGCTCTACAGCCAACTCAATGACGAACAAGGAGGGACAACGAGAGAGGAAGAAAAATGGACCGAATGCAGCTGTAGGCATATGTGGGTGTGTTGATTCTTACTGCCGTGCATCCAGTAGAGTCGCTACGGCCAGTTTATGACATCCTGAGTCTGGTAGAGAAGTTTTAAAGGTGACACAAGATTAAACAGAGAAGCACAAAAGATGATCGTTGTTCATGACACAAACGTGCTCCCATGAGGTGTATGGAACAAGTGGGTGTTCCTCCTGCTGTGATGTAAGATCCTGGTACTGATGTGACTGTATGAGCACCAAGTCCCCTTCAGAGGACTCTGTCCCCTCCAACAGAACATCCAAGTAAACCAGGGAGCTATGAGATAAAAACATGGGCAGCATGTGATGCAGGTCCAGCTGTACATGGAACATGCTAGTGTGTGATGGCAAACCGTCTGTCCTGCAGTCAGGACACGAGTTGTCCCTAACATTGCAGGTTTCCAAAAGAAAACAATCACCTGTAACAGCTTGTTTACTGTATATGCCCCTTGGGTTGCAACTGCAGAAAAGAAAGCTGTCCATGATGGGACCAGTGCAGAGGAATGAACCTGAGCTTCCTCCTGCACTTGTGTCAAATATGGACACGCCTTTGTCCTCATGAAAGTTTGCCTTCACTCAGACTCATGCCCTGGTGTCCTACCATGCCAAAATATAGAAAACTGTCAGGTAATGAGTTGGAATAAAGTTGAATAAAACCTTGAAACACAGAGATGAATGATATTTTATACTTGTTGCTTTATAAACAGTCAAAGCAAACGGGGTCATTTTTGAGCCCAGAGGACAACAGATGCGATTATGTGCTGCCAGTAAAGAACTTGTAGTTTAAAAACAGCTTTCTAAATTAACTTTGACATAAACCTGTCTGTGATCTATGGAAGCCCGTTTCCGCCACTAAAAAAAAAAAAAAAAGGATCCATAACTCAAAATTTCGAGTTATTACAGACCTGGCAACCTGGCTGCCCCTGGGTGGGTCCGGGATGGGCGTGAGGTTCTGGGGGCGCTCCGTCTCTGGGCTGGGGCCCGGGCCGGGCCTCGGGGGCTTGGGTCCTGGTTGGTGTGTTGCCGGGGTTGTGAGCGGGTGGGTGCATGGGGGCCCGGCCCTGGAGCAGGGTGCCGCCGGTGCGTCGAGCCGCCTGGGGGGCTCTTCAACTG